GGCCACGCCCCCTCCAGCCACGTCCAGGTGCGGGGTGGACCGGTGGCGCTTTGTCCGCCGGGCGCGGCGCGGGTAACTGTGGCTCTGGAAGAGCACCCCATAGTCCCCGTCAAACGAGTAACGCTGCTGTGGCCGAGGCCGTGCGGGTGCCCCCCCAGGAACCAGAGCTAGAGTGGAGGGCGCTGAAGCTGGCGGCCTCAAGGCCCCAGAACGGCTCCTCCGAGGACCCACAGCGGCTCGAGACTCCTCCCCAGAGGTTTCCTCCGATGGCAGGAGACACAGCGAGGTGGCCGAGCCACCCAGGGAGCGTCCAAAGACTGCCTCTGGGTCTGCGGAAGCTGCGGTCTCTACCACCGTGGTCTTTGCTTCCACCGCCAGGGCTCCCGCCGCCAGGGACGCCTCCTCGCGTAATGCCACGTAGCATTCTGGCGCTGGCGGTGGGGCCTGCGGCGCGCCTGCACCATTGGTTTGCGAGCACACGTGGCTGACCCGCGGGGGTGACCTAGAGGCGCCCTTGACACGACGGCCATCTCCGTCGCCATAGACCTTGTAGCGGATCATGAGCAGAACGATGAAGACGAGGACCGAGGCAACGATGACGCCGCCGATGGCAATGATCATGGTGCCGCCCAAGAAGTGTGCCCTCAGCGGGCGGCAGGGCGCGGGATCCCCAGCCGTGGTAAACTGCACGCAGCCCACCACTCGCGTGGCTGGCAGCGCTGTGGCACCATCGTCGTAGACCGCCAGCACGCACAGATCATAGGCGCGGCCCGCCGCCAGATCATTCACCAGGAAGGTCTGGCTGGTGGAGGGGATCATCCTGTGGGAAGGGGCAGGATCAGCGCGGAGTTAGCTCTACTCTGAACCAAGCCGTTTCATTTGTATGTCCCACCCACAGTGACCAGTGGGAATCAAACCTTGCGTTCCTACCAGTATCTCACCCTTTACCAGGACAACAGCAGCCATTCAAGCAACAAATTTCTAACTTCTCTGGATCCCTGCTACAGGCCACGCCTTTCATCTGCATGCCCTGCCCTCAGACCAACCCCGTCTTATTGCCTAGTTAGAATACTATCTGTCAATCATATTCCCTCATCTACATATCCCAGTTCTTGAATGAGAGGAGTGCTATAGCTTTTATGCTCTACCCTAAAGGGAAACGCCCTCTAGCAGTGTCTCACCATATTAGGATAGCAACAACTGCCATTCAAGGTCTCTTATGTACATATTTTCATTCTTTGAGGGGCCCCATTACTACAAGCCCCACCCTCTACCAGCATGCCCCACCCTCACAAGTGGTCAACTCACACCCCCTGTCTTTATGACTTTAGAAAGGAAGGGAGAGAGGAGGAGGGGCGGGAGAGAAAGAAAAGCATTGATTTTTGTTGTTTCACTTATTTCTGAATTCCTTGCTTGATTATTGTATGTGCCCTGACTGGGGATTGAACCTGCAACCTTGACTATCCAACCAACTGAGCCTCTAGTTCTTTAAATATAT